AACAGAAACAAGAACATTTACAACTCAGTCGATGGTTAAGTTATAGGTGCGGCGAAATGATTAAGGGTCGCAAGTTTGAATTCCGAACGCAACAAATGGTTGAACAGCAGTTTTTATAACATTCTAGTGATCAATCAATCTGACAGTCCACGTGATGATAAGTGGTACAACCCAAAAACTCCTGCAACCAACATCAACCAAAGCAGGCTACAGATGATTTGTCACGTCCTTAAATCAAGATCGAATGCTTCACAATCTGTAGTTATACTGGCTCAATGTGCCTTTAATTAAGACTGAAACACAATAGTGCTGCTTGCAGGCTGGTTGGAGGCTGCTGCCTGCCGACAATAATAATAATAATAATAAGGCGTAGGGAAGTGACGACCCCATCGCCCGCTGACGTAACAGTTATGTGACAAAACTGCGACGTCGGCGCAGTCAGTCAGCATCCTGCCAAGAGGTGTGAGCGCCGTGCCTAGGCAAAATTGTAGATGCAAAGGTCCGTTTGTGCATATGACCCAACCACGAAACGGTGCCGGGCTTGGGCGTCTCCCGTTATTTGGCGCCCATAAAATGGATGATGGAAGAAACACAAAAAGGAACGCGCATAGGGCCGCTGCCTGGGGGTCGCCGGGGCGCGTCTGGAGCTGGCGCTGGACGCGGCAGCATGCGGGCCGCCAGCCGAGCGCGAGGAGCTGCACGATCACCTAGCAGCCCCTCGCATCCATCATCCCCACCAGAAGGCTTGGTGTCGGCTGGGTCTTCTCGGACCCAGCAAGCGGCACCCGCCGCTGGTGGAGCACGTCGCATGCGTTGGACAAAATCCATGAACGAAAACGCATTGCGGGCGTACTATAGGGCGAAAGGGAAAGAAACTGTGGGAATAGCGTATAGGTCTCGGATGCATTGCTTTTTTGCTGAGCTGGAGCCGTCTATCCCCGTCACGGAACAAAACCTGGCAGACCGAGTTCGGTACATCATGCGCTCGAAAATATTTGATGATGCCGAACTCGAACGACTACGACGTGAGGCTATTCCGTCGTCGAATGAATCGGCTATGGCTGGAGATGCAGCTCCACATTCGACAGACCAGCATCCACACGTGGAAGCCGCCATGGATCTTCCAGTTGTGGTTGATCCGAACGACGATGAAATAGTCTCCCACGAACTAGAGCAAATGAGGAGTATATTGGAAGAGGCGATTTTGGAAACGCGCAGCACCCCTCTCGAAAATCGACCGCGACTTCCCCCGCATACCCTTAAGCAAGCGAAATCGGGCTGTCGTGAGGGCTCTTAACCCAATGCTGGTGACCTATTTGGAAGCCAGCCGGGACCTTTGCGAGACGGACTCGATTCTCTTTGGCGCCGCAGTGGCAGTTTGCCGTATTATTGGTGCCAAACTTCCCATGGCTGGACGCGCTACTACACAAAGTAACGCCATCCCAGCCTGGAGGAAAAGAATCGAGGACCGTATCGCAAAGGCAAGGGCCCTTATCGGCAGACTGACAAGCTTCAGGTCGGTAATAATAGACCGAGGATTATGCGCACCGTTAGGATGGCGTTTGCTGGGACAAATATCAGTTTGTCCCAGCCGGATATCACGCAGAAACTAACGGAGCGCATAGACGACCTGAAGCAAAAGATCGCTGCTTGGGGGAAGCGGATTCGACGATTTTCCGAGGGGTCAAGGCGGTTCAACCAGAATCGTCTCTTCCAGAGTGATCAGAAGAGGCTCTATAAATTATTGGAGCGACCAAAGGTATGTGGAGCGGCCCAAGGACCGGATCAGGCTGACATTATCGCATTCTGGCGTGGCCTGTGGTCAGAGCCCGTAAACCACAATGAGGGCCCTTGGATGGAAGTTGCGGCGAGCCAGGGTGCGAGTGTTACGCCTATGGACCCCATCACCATAACGCCAGAAGACGTGGCTGAGGCGGTCCGTAGGGCCCCGAACTGGAAAAGTCCGGGGCTCGACGGGCTGCATCATTACTGGCTGAAGGGGTTCGTAGTGTGTCACGCTGTGCTCGCCCGACAGTTTCAAGAGGCTCTCGACCAGAAGTCACTCCCGAGCCTCTTCACTACTGGGATCACTCACTTGGTTCCTAAAGATCAGGATACCACAGACCCGAGGAAATACCGCCCCATCACGTGTCTACCCACCATATATAAGACACTGACATCCATTTTGAGCGCGAGAATCACTCGTCACCTGGAGCTAAACCAGGTGATGTCACGCGCTCAAAATGGATGTCGGGGCGGTGGTCGTGGAACTAAGGAACCACTCCTCATTGACGCGGTCATAGGCAAAGTGGTGAAACGCAACCGTCGGAACTTCTCTGCCGCCTGGATAGACTACAGAAAGGCGTTCGACTCGGTGCCCCATACATGGCTAAAGAGGGTCCTCGAGCTGTACAAGATTGACTGTACAGTTAGAGACTTCCTCGAGCAGTGTATGGGGCAGTGGAGTACGATCCTTTGTCATCTGGGCGAGCGGATGACGGCTGCGGAGAACCACATAAGGATAAGAAGGGGTATCTTCCAGGGCGATTGTCTGAGTCCAATCTGGTTCTGCCTCTCTCTTAACCCTCTCAGTACCTTACTGGAGGGCTCCGGGAGGGGATTTCAGCTACGGAAAGGAGGGACAAAAGTGACCCACCTTTTTTATATGGATGACCTCAAGTTATTCGCTTCCAGTCGCTCCCATCTTATGGAACTGCTAAACATCACTTGTGAATTTAGCAGTTCCATTGGAATGGAGCTGGGGACGGATAAGTGTGCGGTCCTCCATGTTGAAAGGGGAAGGGTTGCTAACTCTGAGGGCATAGACTTGTCTATGCCCGTCAACTGAAGGACCCTTTCCGAGGCTGAAACCTACCGATACCTGGGTATGTCACAGAACATCGGTATCGATGAGGCTGGTATGAAACAGTCAGTTTGCGACGTGTTTTATGCACGCTTGACCAAAGTGCTTAACAGCCTTTTATCCGGTGTGAATAAAACACATGCATATAACGGCTGGGTCATGCCTGTCCTCATGTATACCTTTGGCATACTCAGGTGGACTCAGACTGAGCTTAACGCCCTGGATAGAAAAGTCCGCACTACCATGACGTCCCATAGGATGCATCATCCGAGATCGTCGGTAATGAGGCTGTACTTGCCGCGGAAGTATGGTGGGCGTGGCTTTCTGAGCGCGCTCACCATGCATAATCGCGAAGTGTGCAGTTCCGTCAGTACTTCTTGGCGAGATCGGATGATCCATTCTATAATGACGTCATTTCTAGTGATAAAGGGCTTACCCCTCTATCCTTAGCCAACGAGCAATGGCAGGACCCAGCAGTGCTTAGCAATTCCGACCGGGAGACCGTATGGAAGGAGAAGGAGCTCCACGGGAGGTACTACAAGGCTCTACATGAGCCCTTCGTAGATACAGTCGCCTCCCTCAACTGGCTACGTTTCGGTGACCTCTTCGGGGAAACCGAGGGTTTTGTCTGTGCAATACAGGATCAGGTTATTAAGACCAACAACTATCGGAGATACATCCTAAAGGATGGCACCGTCGACGTCTGTCGAGCTTGTCGCCATCCCGGGGAGTCACTTAGGCATGTCATCTCCGGTTGTTCGGCGCTTTCTAACTCTGAGTACTTGCACAGGCACAACCTAGTAGCCAGAATTCTACACCAGGAGCTCGCTCTGAAATACGGTCTCGTGGACCGGAAATTGCCGTATTACAAGTACTTGCCGGAAGCCGTGCTCGAAAATGACCGCGCCAGACTCTACTGGGACCGGGCCATCATCACAGACAGGACTATTCTTGCGAATAAGCCTGATATTGTGCTGATGGACCGGGCACAGTCAAGGATATTTTTGGTTGATATTACCATCCCGTATGACGAGAACCTCGTGAGAGCCGAAACAGATAAGCAATCAAAATATCTGGACCTGGCTCACGAGGTGACGGACATGTGGGGTGGTCTGCCGGCCGAAATTATTCCTGTAGTCGTCTCTGCGAATGGGCTAATCCCAGTTAGCCTCTCTGGTCATCTGAGGCGACTGGGACTCCGTGACGGACCGCTCCGGGCTCAAATGCAGAAGGCGGTGCTCCTTGATACTGCCCGCATCGTCCGCCGGTTTCTTTCCCTTTCTTCCTAACCCTTGGCCGTTTGGTCTCACCTGCCGAGGGCTTCCATCTGGTTTGGCTTTTATTTATTTATGTATTTTTGTATTTATTTTATTTTATTGATATTTATGTATATTTATCCTTTCATTTTCGTTTATAATTATATATTTATACATCCCAACCAGATGAGAAAACTATATAGATACCCCACACATAATAATAATAATGTACACCAGACCGAATTCCGGTCACGGCTGCCAATTTCAAAAAGAAGCACGGGGGGGGGACACTGCCAACTTTCTGAATATGGGCTGCTACTGAGAATTTCTCGACAGAAAAACCTAACATCTGTTTTTGGCCCAACTCGGGATTCAAACGCGGAGCCTCGTGGATCAGCAATCGCGTTTACGACCACTAGATCAACAAGCAGTCAAATAAATAGATGTGGAAAATGATAGAGTGGTTCCATTCCAGAACCCTTGGCAGATAAGTAGTACAACCACCTAGTAAAAGCCTCCAGATAATTATTCTGTTTATGTTTGTTTATACTCATACAATTTTATGTGAATTGCATCTTCAAAATAAATATCAATTTGGGTATAACATTTTATTACCTTGTGACACTTAATACATTGTAACACATTAATGTATTGTATGTATGTAATGTATTTTTTATAATACGGAATAATAACTTTTAATAAAAGTCAATAAATACAACTCAACGTTCTATGTTTTAAACTTTCGGCTTTGCCCGAGTAGGTACGTGTTTTCTTTAACCAGTCGCGGGTAGAACGCTTACACAACGAATTATCCGATCTTGCACTTAGACCAGACGAGATCGTTATTTAGTTTCAAAGTCAAAGTTTTAGAAATTATTTTTTTTTTTATATAGAAGAGGGGCAAACGAGCGTTCAGCTCACCTGATGGTAAGTGTCTACCGACGCCCATGAACAACCGCAACACCAGGGGGAATTGCAGGTGCGTAGCCGACCTTTTAAAAAAGGAGTAATATTATATACGAGATGAGGTTGAAAGAGTAACGATGTATTATAGAAGTAATCACACAATTCAGCTGATGGTAAGTAAATGCTATGGCCGATGATAGGCTTGTTCTATATTCTCGGTTATAAATCAAAATGCAAATACGTTGTGTTTGTTTGTCACCCCTGAGTAATAAGATATAATGCCTCTTATTTATTGAATAATGGTGTCAAACGAGCACGCAGTTCAACTGATGGTAAATGGATGCTGTGGCATATAGACACCTTCATCTATCCTCTTTTAAGAATAAAAATATAAATGCGTTGTCACACTTGACGACTATAGAATGCATTATTATCTGTAAGAATAGAATATATCGTTACGTTAAATTAAAATGAGTTTGAAAATAAGTTAGGAAAATTTGAAGTTAATATTTAGACTTATTTCCTTAAATTTTAATTGTAACTTATACTTATATTATTTACGAGCCTTTGTTTCAATGTCAATAAATGATTATATTATTATTCGAAATAGTGTAGAGGAATTGATGCAACGACTTCGCAAGCTTTGCTTGGAAACTGTTTGATAGTTTTTAGTTTTCTGTAGTCGACTTTTACTTTTTATTAAAAGGTAAATTTAAAACCCTTTTAAGTAGACGAATAAATATCACAAGGTCAAGGTAACAATAAAAATATCGTCTAATAACTTACATTAAGAATTTCATCCTAATGTAAGTAATTAGACTTTTAATAGAATTAGAAATTAGAATTAGAATTAGATTTTTTCTCCTAAATTATATGTTTTGTTTAACGTTACCTCGGCATTAGCATTTTATACTGTATCATGGAGGCAGTTTACATGCACAAATTTCTCAGGAACAAACATCCAGACTCGAAACAATTACTTATGGGCCATACAAATATTTGTCCCGTGCAGTATTCGAGCCCGCATCCCTCAGCGCCGTAACTCATTGTAAACCCACTGCGCCACAGAGTCGTCAATATAACAGAAAGAATGGAAAAATACACTCAGTCTCGCAGCGATAAAGCTTTTGGTGCGATGTGGGTGCAGTGTTTTTTTTTTTAGTAAAATTGTAGTGACATGCGGTCTGGACTGTCAGGACCTAAGTGCATGCCGAATTCAACCAAAGCAGGCTACAGATGAGTTGTACGTCCGAAAATTGTACGTTATTAATA